GAGGCCATGCAGTGTGCCCCTGAGAGGGAAATATGTCAAGCAGACAGTGCAAAGCCTAACATGCAGTGGAAACCCCAGAAGTTGGAAAATCCAGGAATGTGGATCATCTGAGGAAGGTTGCAAGGATGGAGCAAAGCAGGCCTAAGAGAGAAGCCAGGGGCACTACCAGCAGAAGTTCCATAGGGGTAGGGCCATTTAAGATGTTTGGAGTTCACAGCTCATCACAGACTGCTTTGAATGTTCCACATGGAATGATAGGACTTAAGATTTGCCCTTCTGGATTTTAGACTTGCTTTTGTCCCAATGTTTTGGATCCTGTTGTTCATACTGTTTGAAATGGTAATGTTTATCTTGTGCCACTGAATGCTGGAAATGTTTAACTTTTCATTTGTACAGGGGCTCACAGCTAAGAGTTTACATCAGATCTTGGAGGAGACTTGGGAATTGGACTTATCAGCAGTGCCAAAACTGTTTGGCCTTCAGCAACTCTTAGAAATGGACTAAAATGCCTTTTGCTTTTTAAAGGGATGTGCATGAGTCTTTAAAGGGGCAGGATGTTATAGTTTGTATCTAGCTGTACCCCCAAAGCCTCCTGCAGTCACTGGGGCAGCTTCTAGATTTTGTGCTTACATCATGATCCAATGCTGGGATTATGTATGTGAATGCTACACCCACCTTGGGGCAGAAAATCTGCATACAAATAGAAAGAAGGGAGAGAGGCTTGCTAACTGCCTCAGCCACTGCGCCTCGCTTTGCTATTTGCTGTTTTCTGCCACCATGAACAGCTTCCCTCTGCGACATGCCAATCTGCCTTGGAGCAAGTAAAGCACAGACTGAAACCTCTACAAACTGTGAGCTAAATGAACCTTTCCTTCCTTAATTTTGGGTTTCAGGTATTTTGTTCCAGCAACAAAACAGTAACTAAGATACAGGTGAACATTTGCAGCTTTATTTTACTCATGTCAAAAAAGTAAGAGACTTCAGTACTTATTGGTCTGGGTAGATACTTTCACAAACATGGTTGAAGCCTTCCCTTGTAAAACAAAAAGGCTCAAATACAGTAAGAGTCTTAGCTTCAGACATCATCCCTTGAGTCGGACTTCCTAGGATCTTACAGAGTGACACTAGGCCTTCTGTTAAAGCAACAGTCATGCAAAATGTCTCTCAGACACTGGGTATTCACTATCACCTCCACTGTGCATGGAGGCCGCAGTCATCAGGAAAGGTTAAAAAAAAAATAAGTAAGACCCTAAAGAAACATCTTCATACAATGGCTCATGAGACCCACCTACAGTGGCCTCACTGCCTTTAGCTCTGATCAAAATAAGATCTTACTAAGATCTTTTAAGGTCCCTATTAATTAAAAATATGGTTCCTGTTCTGAGGGCCAAGAACCACAGACATCAAGATGGCCATTTCCAAATATGGGACGATCATCTATGGTTAACCTCTAGCATAGGACACCTCAGCAGAAAGGTGCCCTTATGCTGGGAACAAAAGAATCACTCCTTTTCTCATTGGCCTACCTCCACTGAATACTTGGGATGGACACCCCTGAACAGTGTAGACACACAATAACTTTACTTGCTGAAGACTGGTTGGCAATGGACTGGTTTAATTGCCCTGGAATTAGATGGAAAGCTCCCAGTGACACTCATTGGTCTTGTGGAACCAATTTGTGGCCTTGGCTATCTTTAGCGAGAGGCACCTTAGGATTTGCATGGTTACAAGGCAGGAGTGTCAAAAATATCAACAAACCTGAAGTTTTATTCTGCCTGCCACATTGATGGTCTAGAAGCATGTTTCACTGGTATGAACATTTTGCCTCCATCTCGATCCCCTCCCTAGGGCTAGAAGATGTCATGCAACACACTGAGGCCTTAACCAACTATACTCAGAGGGCCTTAAATGACACTGGGGCTGGTCTCTTTCTCTTTCTTGGTGAAGAAGTAAAGTTGATGAGACAAGCCATCCTCCAAAATCAGGTGGCATTAGAATTCTAACAGCCACACAGGAGGTTACTTGTGCAATTATAAAAGCCAGACATTGTGTGCACATTTCTGACCTCTATGCTGATATCTCAACAGCTGTTCAAGATATTAGACAACAAATCAAGGATATGTCAGACTCTGAAGCCTCCAGGACCTTGTCCTTATCAATATTATATCAGACTCTGAAGCCTCCAGGACCTTGTCCTTATCAATCTTATGGGGAGCCATTATGAGCTTCTCAATGTAAATCTTTGTTGACTATATTCATAATCATCCTGTTGATGTTATTATTTGGCCCATGCATAATTAATTGGTTCTTTGGCCTTGTCTCCTCAAGACTCAAAGGTATACATCTATCCAAGATGAAAATGGATGGTATCTATTGAGGGCTGTCTCAGTTACTCTTCTCTCATTGCTGGGACAAATACCCAACACCCAAACTTAAGGAAGGAAAGGTTTATCTAGCTCACAGTTACTGGAGGGTTCAGTCCATCCTCAGCTGGCTCCAAGGCATATTGGAACATAGCACATAGCAGCCTTTCATGGCAGAGAGAAAGAGCAGAGGGAGCAAAGGAGAGTGGCAGCACTCAGGCAGCTAACTAGCCTCTCTTCCCTCCTTAAATTGTAATGAAAATTGCCTGTCCCAGGGCAGGTGCAGAATCTACACCCACAATAATCACAAACTCCAGAAGCTGCCCCATGACTGCATGAGGCTTTGGGGGGACACCTATACACAAACTCTAGCAAGGTTTAGATAGACCCTCTGAAGAATATATCTGACTGCTGATCAACAACTACAACCCCTCTCAGCCTGAATAAGCCAGAGCGGTCATCGCCAATGATTCCCTCATGAAATTTCAGGTTATTTTTTCAGAGCAGGGAATGTTGTAGGCAGTTGAGTTAGATAGAAATATTATGAGTGGCCAGACAGGGTTAGGTTTAGCACAGAAGAAAAGATAGCTTGCAACTATGACAGAGACACTCCACTGAGGCCCAGACCGCAACACCAAAGAGCAAACAAATGCTTAGCTCCCTAAGGATAAGCATCTGTAGTTGATAATCACTTTGAGGAAGCAAGGAAGAGTCATTTATCCAACTGTTACTGGCTAGACTCCTGTTCTATAGGACTCCTGTTCTATATTCATGCCTGCTTGGTATGTGACTCATTTCCCCATTTGGTCCTGGAGCTAATCAATTTTACCTAAGTGACTTTGCTTATAACCTTATTTGTTCACTGTAGTTTTGTCCCATCTCATGTGTGAGTTCTCATGTTTCCATCTTAGACCTACCTTACTTCATAGTTTTGTTCTATAAAAATCCCTAGAAATGACAGTTTCAGAGGCAACCCACTTGGGTCCCCCTTCTGTCCCTTTCTTAGACAGAAACTTTCTTTCCCTTAATAACTATATTCTGCTCTTAGCCTCCAGTTGTTCCTAAAATTCATTCTTTAGTTTTAGAGAAGAAGAATGCATCCCAAGTACCTCTCAGGTTAGGAGATTCATTCCACTATATCAATCTGACAGACCAGATCTGAGTACAGGTCCCTTCGAGTTTTTTCTAAACTCTGGTTCCTGCCTCACATAAAGTAGACACATGTTCCTTCAGTTGTATTTGCTATGATTCTGCACTGGAAGCAGCTGAGTGTGCAATAAAGTCTATAAAATATGAGATGCTCTTCTCTGGATTTTGTGGCACTGGAGATTACAGGCAAGTTTCTGCCTATTCTTAATAGTGCTGTACCAATGAGCCACACACATCCCCACCATTTCTCCTGCACCACAAGTAAGCAACAAAGACCACCAGGCTTGGGTCAAGGCAATATGGCATGGAATTTATTGTGCCTGGGTTCAGGCAGAGAACAGGGTGAAACCATCTGCCTTAAGCAAAAGGAAGTGTTCTCCTTTTATCCAAATGGGAAGGGAGAAGGTTTAACAAACATTTGTGGTCATAGTTTTCTGGAAGCCTTTGATCCCAGGAGAAATAATCTTTGGTGTGTCCATTGTACCTTTTTTGGTATCTCTAGGCCCTGGCAAATGCCTTGTCCTAGCTTATTTTCTTCTTCTCACAGCTCTGGTGCTGAGCTGAGTTTCCTGCCGAGAGCTGATACCCCAACATAGTGCCCTGATGGCAGGAAGGCGGGGGCTGGCCAGTCAGTCCAGTCGGACATGTACATCTCCAAAGCTGCATGTTCTGTTGAGCCTTGATGGTGCTCTGGCTTTGTTTTTTTTTGTGGTATTAGAGAGACTGTGTCATTATAAAATGCATCTTACCCTCAAAACTCACTCCCCTCCTGCTTCCACCTGGTGGAAATATGTACCACAAATATATTTGTCAGGAAGCTAATGCTCAGACATGGAGAACTCTCAAGAATTCAGCTTTCAGTTTTGCAAAAGGCTGTAAGCAAGCCCAGCATTGCGGTAACAGACGCCCAGGTGTTGGGGAAGCTATCTTTCAATTCGCTGACTGAATCAAAGGCTTTCTTTCTGTCAGGATCCATAACTCAGAAATACAAGGGAGGCGGTGGTGTGAGGCTGTGCCAGTGAGAGAGAGGGCACTGCGGTTTGAAAGGAAAGTCCTTGGTTGTTTCCTTGGAAACTGGCTGTTCTGGCACAAAGTACACTGTCATCAACTCTTGGGGCTCAGGACATTAACAATGGGCAGGGAGCGGTAGAGTTGGCCAGGGCATTCAAATCCAAACTGGAGTTGGTCTGGCCTTGTGCTCTGACAGCAAAAACAAAGCCTATTTCTCAGAAACCAACACAATCGCTGGGATTGCAGCCTTGCACCACCCCAGGCAAAGTTTGAATCTGCCGTCTATGCCAGTTTTTCCTTTCGGTTCAGATTAGATGAGAGAGACACTGGCAGCACCCAGCGCAGGCTCCAGCGCAGCTCCCCACGCTGGGCGGGGACGCGGCAGCCCCGCCCCGGAGCTGGCCTGCGCAGGCGCCCTGGGCAGGCTTGGCGGCGCTGACGAGTGACGTCACAGCAGCGACGGCCGGAAATGCGTGTAGGGTTGGGAAGCGGGGGGAAGTGAGTGCCTTCGTCTGCCACAGCTCAGTGGCTCTGGGTTGCTTCTCACCGTGCTGCTTGGAAGCAACCATATTGCCTGTGCTGGGCTTCTCAGCGAGCTGGCGCCAGAGCTTTCGTCAAAGAGCTCCCCCTGAGGAGTATCGAGAAGGTAACTGGCAGACGACCCGTGCTGTGGCTGCCACGTTGCCTCCTCAGCCCGCCGGGCGGGGTCGAGCCGGGGCTTCCCGTGTGCCTGGCGCGCATTTCCTCTGCGTGTGTCTGATAGGTTTTGACGGTGTCGAAGCAGAGAAACAGGCAGAAGGGAAAAAAGAAAGGGGCTTTATTATAAGGGGAAAGAGGCTTCATTATCTTGGAGGACATGGAGAGAACTTGGGAAGATGAGGAATTCTCTGGATTGGCACAAAGGGAGGCTGAGGCTCTTAAGGCCTGTTGCCAGGGGTGCGGCTTGAGGGGGATGTTGAGATACACCCGAGGAGCTGACTGGGGCCGTCCGTGAGGTGGCGGGCAGGGTGAAAGGAAACTGCACCGTGGGCTGAGTTGGAGAAGAAGGGGTCTCTGGGAAGATGAGCTGTCGTTTTTAAGGACTTCAGCCATACTGGATGGCCACCACAATGATTAAGCAATTCATCCTAAGGCCAGAACCTATCACTGTCTCCTCTTTTTTTTTCACTGTCTCCTCTTTACAGTCCCTTCAGTGAGTAAGATTGATTTTTATGCCGCCTTGTCCCCTAAATACAGTCATTCTTTATTTCTAGAAGCTAATCAGCTTGGTGAGAGGCTGACCTTTGTTTCTTCCTTTCCACTTTGGTATTCTTAGTCCACTGGCCAAAATCCGTAGTGCAATATTGTGTAGGAGTGGTAAGAGCAAATTTCCTTGCCTTTTGCTTGTCAGCAGAAGACTTTCAGACCTTTAACGTTAATTGTGAGGGGTTGGCCAAATAACTCAGCAGATTAAAGCACCTGCAAGCAGGCACAGGGGCCGGGGGTTCCATGCCCAGGCCTGCTGAGGAAGTCCCACCCCCTAGGGTTCGCTGAGACGGCAGTTGAGACTGGGTGTCGTGGGGCACGCCTGTAATCCCAGCTTTTAGGAGCCTGTAAACAGGCAGATCACTACGAGTCTGATTTAGTAGTGAGACCCTGAACACCCTGCAGACCCTTCAAAAAAAAAAAAAAAAAAAAGCCAGAGAAGATACAGTAAACTGGGCATGGTTGCAATTGCTGTCATCCCAGCACCTAGGAGGCTGAAGCAGGAGGACTGCATTCAGTTCAAGTGCAACCTGAACTACATAGCTAGACCCTGTCTCAAAAAAAATCAATAAATGAAAACACCATAGTAGTAAAGAAGAGTTCCTTGGCACTGACTCACCTACTGCAGAGAAGAGGTGCACCTCTCAGTGCACTGAGCTGTGGTGATGTCCGTGGTTGCAAAATTGACAGAGCCCTCAGCTTTGCAGTGAGGGCAGCAGTGGGTCCCAGGACTGGCAGCACAGCAGGTATCCCAGGTAAACCTCCTCTACCAGTGCACCTTGGTCTTCCACCTGTAATCTTTCTCCTGCTTCTCTGCCTGTTCACTTGGTTCCTTTGAACCTAGTGTCCTCGGTGGTGCTACTTGCCACCTTTGGCCCCTGTGGGCCCCTTCCCTTTAAGAACATTACATTCTGGAGAGCATATTGCTAGCCATCTGTCTGGGACCATAGTTCTTGTTCATTCTCTCTCTCGCTCACTCTCTCTCTGTCTCTCTGTCTGTCTCTGTCTCTGTCTCTCTGTCTTAGGAAATATTGTTCTGTCTCTAAATCTTTGTTACTTTATAGACCTCTAAGCATTACCTCTGAAAAGTCTGAGATCACTTAATAAAATACTCTCCACCCCTCCCGCCTTGATTGATCATTTGTATGATGCCATTTGTTTCATCTGTAATACTGAACACCATAATACATCATTTTCTGTACAGTCCATCTTCCTAACCACAGTGGTAGTCCAAGAAGACAGGCTATTTGTATTGTCTCCACTGTCCTACCGGATGCTGAATGTACGAATTGCGCTTTTGCCACTCAAATGCAGTGTTCATGGCACTTCTCACATAAAGTGTCCCCTTTGGTGTTTTCCAGGTTTCTTGGTCCATCAGAACAGCCTTGGCAGTTCTTGTGCTTCTGTCTGACATCGAGTGGGTGCTCTAGCCCCTGAGGTAACCATGTCTTCTCATAAGACCTTCAGGATCAAGCGATTCCTGGCCAAGAAGCAAAAGCAGAACCGTCCCATCCCTCAGTGGATTCGCATGAAGACTGGTAATAAAATCAGGTACAATTCCAAGAGGAGACACTGGAGGAGAACCAAGCTGGGGCTGTAAGGAGCTGCCTGAGGGCCGCAGCACTTATGCCCTCTTGGGGTCACAGAGTGATGTCTTCTTTATGAGGGTGAGGACAGCACTGAGTGAAGTTTAAAAGACTCCACTCACTGGACAGGGGGATGCACTTCATAAGGAATCTTAATCTTTTTCTGTCATCAGTGCTATTGGATTAACAATAAATATTTGACACATTTTTTTCTAAAAGTCCTTGGAGCAGCCAGCAGAGGGCAAAGTTGAGCTGCCAACTGCAGCCCCATGTGCTGTGCAGGTTCCCATGTCTAAGCTGTGTCTTCACTTACTGCGTGAGCCTTGCTGATGGCTCTGCTTGTGCCTGGCCCATGGCGATCCGGGCCTCTCCACTTGAAAATGGGCAGCATGGAGACTGGAGCTTTGGTCCAGTGTGCACTGGGACAAGGCTGAATGGGGAATTACATTGCCTGGCCCTGAGGAAGGGGAGGAGTCCCCATCTACCACAAGCAAGACACCGCTGGGGGCAACAAAGGAAAGTCAGGAGGCATAACAACCCCTGACTTAAAATTGTACTAGAAAGCTTCTGTGATAAAATCAGCATGGTATTGGCCAAAAAAGTTAAAACAGACCTGAGGATCAATGGAATCGAACAGATTAGAAGATGCAGACAAAGCTACAGACACATTCAGCCACCTTATCTTTGACAGAGGGACCAAACATGCTCCCTGGAAGATAGCCTCTTTAATAAGTAGTGCTGGAAAAAACTGGCTTTCCACATGCCAAAGACTTAAAATAGATTTATTTCTATCAGCCTGCACAAAACTACAGTCAAAATGGATCAAAGACCTAAATATTAACAAGAACACTAAATCTTGTGGACGCAAACTTAACAAAGAAATCTTAAAGACATAGAAGGTAAAGAGTTCATGAACAAAAATCAAACTACATGGGAAATCCTTCACACAGTCAATAACCGAGATCTCATCTTTTTGAAAAGCATCTGCAGGGGCTGGTGAGATGGCTCAGTGGTCTAAAGCACCTACTTAGAACAAGCTTGGCAAAGCACAGGGACCGCGGTTCAATCCCCCAGCACCACATGCCAGCCAGCCCCGCCCCCTGGTGGGCTGAGCTGGCCACACACACACACACACACACACACACACACACACAAATAAAATTAAAAAAAAAAAAAAACATCTGCACATCAAAATAAATCATTGTCTTGGTTTTCTCTTGTTGCTGGGACAAAGTACCTGACACCCAAAATTAAGGAAGGAAAGGTTTGTTTAGCTCACAGTTAATGGAAGTTTTAGTCCATAGTTGACTGGCTCCAAGGCAGAATGGAACCTGGCAGAAGACAGCCATTCATGGCAACCAAAGATAGCAAAGCACAAAGGGAGGTGCCGTGGCTGTGGCAGCAGAGAGGCAGAGAGCAAGCCTTCCTTAGATGGCCTTCAGGCTATCTGCCTCAGGCTGGTAGCACTCATAATCCCAGCACTGGATCGTGAATTAATCACAAAGTCTAGAAGCCCACCCCAGTGACTACATAAGGCTTTGCATGCTACAAACCTAGACACAGACCCTAATATTCTGCCCCGGACTCCCAAAGACTTGGGCACAAAAAGACATTTTAGTCCGTCCATGTAATCCACATTCTTGGATTTTCCAAACTTCTGGGGTTGCCATTGAACTTTAGGCTTCTCTCTGCTTCATAAACTGCCTTTCCAGGAGCACACTGCCTGACCTCCCAGACCTGAAATCTAGGTGGAAGCCTCCTTTAACCTCAGAACTGTATCCTGTATGCACCTAAAGCCAACACCACATGGAGGTTTCAGTCCATACTCGGCTCCAGGGAAGAGTGGGACATGGCAGATAGCAGGCATTCATTGCAGCCATAGACAGCAAAGTGTAAAGGGAATAGCAGCAGAGAGGCAGAGAGCAGGCTTCCTTTCCTTAAAATTGCCTTCAGGGTGCAGCTATTCCCTTTCTAGTTATCTTTCCAAAAGAACTAAAATCTGCTTACTATAATGACATGTGCACCCATGTTGATAGCAGCACAATCTGTCATAGTTTAATCTAGGAAACAACCCAAATGCCCATTATCTGAAGAATTGATAAGATATGGTGTTTTTACACATGGAGTTATTCAGCTATAAAAGAAATTGGAGGCTTTTTTGATAAATGGATGCACTGGAGACTAAACTAAGTGAAATAAATCAGATCCACATGTGCAAATATCGTATTATCTTCCTCATGTAAGAACCTGATCTGCAAGGTACAATAGACAGTGTGAAAGGGAAACAGTTTATTCAGTGGGAAGGAAAACACAAAAACAGGCAAAGGAGAAAAGAGAAAAAGATGTTTATATGTGGGACAGTTTGGATAACTACTGACAGTTTCAGCTGGTTTTTTGAAAGGAACACTTAAAATCTTTTTTATTATTTTTAAATTTGTTACAACTTTTTTGTTACTGGATTGTTTTGTTTTTCCTTAAACTGATCTTGAATGTTTACATCTGGTAACCTAAACGACTAATTCGAAGGTAACATCATACAATACAGTAATCATTGTTGAATTCCTGTTACTTTGCTTAGTGAAATTTTGTATTCTAAAGCTTTTTTTCCTATCATTATTTTGTATTTAAATGAAAAAAAAAATAGGAACTTCATGACAAAACAGCAAGATCATCTACATGTCAAATATGTCCTGCAATAAGGCTAGGAAAAAAAAATATATGTTGTCACTGTAAGCATATATCAATGGAATGTGCTGTTTTCTTGTGTGAAGACTGTTAGGCCTAATAATTGAAGCAAAGATGTTTTTGTAGAGTGCTGTTTGTATTTACTTTCTCATTCATGAAGAAATTTCTGTCTTTAGACTTTGTACAACCAAAAACCAGTTGATGTTGAAAATGGTGATGCATTTTATACTCATTTGGTCAATATATTTAAAATGTAATCCTTTGTTTTTGTAACTTTTTTCTGTAAAACCACTCAATTGTTTAATATAATAAAACTCATAAAATTAACAACTCAACAATAAACACATTCTAAACATGCATGTGACGCTCCCAGTTATGCCACAAAATGTAGGTGTGCTGTGGTCCTAGGTCTGAGGCACTTCCCTGTAATACATGGTGCATGGTTTGAAAATGAGGATATTCACAAAAAATCAAAACATTCAAAACCCCTAAATTTTAGCGTGGTGGTGCACCCTTATAATACCAAGAATCCAGCTCTGAGATAGGAAACACAGTCTAACCAATTTACTGATGTATATAGGGAACTTCTTTCTTGAACTCAGGGAGCCTTCCTAATGCTACCAGGGAGCAGCCACCACCATGTGACATTGCACTGACGACCAGTCTGTTCTAGATGACCTCTCCCTGCAGAAAGCCTCACATACAACTGGAGCTTTGAGGAGCAAGCTAGATCTAGAGTGCATCATAGTGCACTAAAGTGTGCCACTCAATTTGTCCACTGATTGGGATTAGCAGTTCTCAATGTGGCTGAAGGGATTCATTGAACACTACCCGTGCTGCGTGTAGGTGGTGTGGCTCAAATGCTTGCAGCCTGGGTGGGTGAAAGGCAGGCTTGCTGCTACAGTCTCCTGTCTGCAATGTCCTGCTGCTATGAAGCCCTGTCTTCAGCCAGCCATCTACAAGCTTGGAGCTGAAACAACCCTTTCCTCTAACTTGTGGGTGTTTGGTGTTTTGTCCCAGCTGTTGGGGCCACTGAAGCTGAAATTGCCCTTATGTGGGTGGGCGGGATGAGGCCTCATTGCCTGAATAGTCAAGCTACTTCAATCTTGAGAAACACGTCCTGCTGGGACAGTGTGGGCTATTAGTCACTAGGCAACCTGTTTCTCACAACTTTGTAGAAGTATAAAGGCTCTTATAATCGTTCAGGGGTTGTCTCGCCGTCCAGGCAGATGAGCAATCACCTCACCCAGCTCTTGTCGTCTTGTCTACCCTTTCCTCATTCTGTCTAACCTTTCCTCATTCCTGCTCCTGTTTCTCCTTGGGTTCAACAGATCACACCAACAGGTCTGTACATTGGCTGCCCAAGCAGGGACCCCATAACGAGGTAAGTGGGCAGCAGAAAGCCTAGAGCACGCACAAGGGAGGGAAGTGAATTGGCTAGAGCCAGTGTTCAGCACGGGTGAGCATTGGTACTGGCACATTAGGTGAGTACCTTGGGGGTAGAGGCTCACTAGGGTGAAAAACGGGTTTACCAGGGCCAGAGAGGTAAACCAACATAAAGAGAAAAGACAGGTTTGACAAAAGCCAAAAAGGAAAAGTTAGATTGAGTTAAAAATGGGACAGCGTTTCAAGAAACCTAGATGTACACAAATGTATATAAAAAGTGTTTATTGTTTTCTCAGTTCCTGTATTTGCATGTACTTTCTTTTTTTTTTTTTTAAATTAGTTTTACTACAGGGCCTCCAGGTTTTCACTACACAGATTGGACTCAGTGATGCTCCTGTTTTCAGCCTCCCAAGTGCTGGGATTATGGTCACATGCCACCACGCCCAGTCTCATTCACCATTTCAGTGCACTCCAGAGGCAGGGCTGGCATGGCACGCTGGGGAATCAAACCCTTGGTTGCTTTAGTCTGCTGAGCTATCTGGCTTGCCCTGCATTACTTTATAAGACCACCATAAAGGACTTAGTGTAGTGTATTATTTTAAAATCAAGTCCCAAACTGGACAAGGAGAGTAGAGCAAAGGTACAGCAGATAGTTTAACCGCCCCCAGCTTTGCTCAATTAGATTAACAAGGAAAAGTTCTTTTAAATTCTAAGCAGTTGGTGCAAAGTGGTATGGTGCTGCTTGGGGAGGAGCACAAATCAGGCTCAGGGAGGACCCCATGCTCCGGTCCTAGGAAGGCCCAGTTGGGACTTCCCAGCTGCCTGTGCACCTGTTTGCTGCACCTAGCCACATAGGTTGGCACACACCACCAACTAGGGTCCTATATGCCTGATGGTAGGTGGAAAGTTCATAACTAGGGCACACCATGGCCTTGGCATTGGCTGTGTGTTGCTGGCATCAAAAATTTGTTATAGGGGCCGGGGAGATGGCTTAGTGGAATAAGCGCTTCCCTGGCAAGTGCAAGGGCCTGAGTTCAATTCCTGGTTCCACAAAAAAAAAAAAAATTTTTTTTTTTTTTTTGTTATAAGTGCCTGCTTAGGCAGGCCACAGTGGCTGGGTTCTATCCCTGGCGTGCTGTGACAGCCCTGCCACTGGGGCATGCTGAGATAGCGACAGACTGGGTGAGGTGGTAAGTGCCTGAATTCTCAGCACTTGGGAGGCTGATAACAGGAGACTCACTATGTGTCCAATCTTTGTAGTGAGACCCTCTAGGCACTGTAGACCCTGTACTAAATTAAAAAAAAAAAGTTAGGCTCAAGATACTGCCTTCCTGGACAAAAACAAAACATCCAGCTGTCAGAGCCAGAACAACAGTGGGCACACATGGCTGTGCACAGAGGTCATGGCTACAGACCCTAAGCCCCCTTCAATCTTGGGGTGTGGATGTGGGCCTGAGAAAACCCATTCCAGGTATTAAGCTGCTGCTAGCAGCTCCCCCATCCCTGAGGCTATGGAGTAAAAGCAAGCAGAGGCAAGGCTGTAATACTAAATGCTCTCCAGATTTTGCTTGGTGTCATCAATACCAGTTATACAGAGAAATCAAAGTTCAGTCTACTCAAAACACTGTTTGGCTGGGGAGATAGCTCAGTGGAATAAGGTCCTAAGTTCAAACCCTGGTACTGCAAAAAACAAAACAAAACAAACTGTTTAAATAACTCCAGACTCATATCACTCAATTGGTCATTCTTTGGTAAAAAATTTTAAATTATTAAAAATATATATTGGATTAAAAAATAGAAATTAATTAAAGGGAAAATATTTTAAGGGGCTTTTCAAATGCAAGTGTGAATGGCCTCCAGGTAGGGCAGCTACAAAGGTGCTGTGTGCCCTCATGCAGAGATATGAAGGGACATCCCCCAAAATACAGCTTAACAAAAATGCCAAAAATAGAGTAGTCCCTTCTCTCCATTACAATTGACATTTAAGAATGTTTTATTTTACATTTTTCCCTTAAAGTGATCAAATAAAAAAGCTGTTTCAGGGTGAACCAAATAGCTCAGCAGACTAAAGCTCCTGCTTAGGCAGATGCAGGAACCAGGTTCGATCCCCGGCGTGCCCTGCCAGCCCTGCCCCCGGGCACGCTGAGACAGTGTCTGAGACCGGGCGTGGTGGCACAGGCCTATAATCCTCGTGCTTGGGAAACTGAAAACAGGAGGATCACTGAGAGTCAGATCTGTGTAGTGAGACCCTGTAGACCTCATACTATATACATTTTTAGAAAAGCAAAAGGCTGTTTCCATCCTAAAGTTTGTTTTTTAATATGCTTTTCCTGCAGATTTACAATAATGGGGATGTTTTGTAAGATTATTTAAAATTCCTTTAATTCCTAATAAGTTTGATTGCTTGTTTTACAGTTCTAAATTACAACTGGTATAAAAAAAAAGCTTTGATATTTTACAAAAAAAAAAAAATTAGAGGTTTGGAATACAACCTAAAAGCAGTGTGGTTTAAACAGTCACTTGATTTTGATATCCTGTTTAAAAAATAAAAGGTCTAGTGGTGGCCTCCAAAGGGGTACAAGCTATGATAACTTCTTCATCTTTGTGTCAACTTATCCGACAAAGATATACTGTGCCCCAAACTGTTCAGATCAAACATTCATGATGTTCAGTCTTTATTTGGTAATAATAATTGCCTCCTTCTAGATTTTTTAAGCTAATTTCTCTGGTGTTACTGAATGTCATTATTCTTCAGATATAATTTGCTGTATTGAACAGATAGGTCATATTAGATTAAGAGAGACTATGTGATGGCTTCCTTTCCAAAAATATAGGATACAGGGGCTGGGGAGATCGCTCAGTGGAATAAGCACTTCTCTGGGAGCACAAGGGCCTGAGTTCAACCCCCAGTTCCAGGAAAAAAA